GTTTAGTGTCGTTTTGTTTATTTGTTTTTATTCTGTTTTGCTCGAGGACTAGCAAAAGATAAGTGTGGGGGAGTTTGATAGGAGCATATTCATGCGACTTAAATGGCTTGTTCTCGTGCATTTACGTTATGTTTCTCTAGTTATTTTAGTCCTTTATGCTTCTTTTGTGTGTTTTCAGGTTCTAAGGGCTTAGGGAGCAAGAAAGTGCATTTTGTGGCTATTTGGGGCACTTTTGGGCATGGATTGGATAGCTTAATCATGGAGCAAAGAGGATGGACGAAATTGAAGCCTTGTATGCTCTTTGGGGACATAAAACAAAGGGCCTAGCCCAATCAAACAAATCCTTTGAGCCATGGAAAACCTCTAGCCCAAATCAAACATTCTATGCCATGCAAACCAACCTATTTTAGGCCCATTCTATTTACTTAAACCCTAGCCCTTTAAACTAGCCATATTATGATTTATTCACTTCCATACTCTTCTTTATTCCACATGCATTCACACACATGCACATCATTCACTCACATTTCCTAGCCATGCATCACTTTAACCCACATTTTCACCCATTTACACACACATGCACTCACATGCATTTCAAGAACCAAACATTCTTCTTTGCCGTGCCTTTCCCTTCCACTTTCCAACACATTCTTTCTCAACATCATTGCCGTGCATAATTCATTATCTTTCCACATGCAATTTCAGCCACATGCATTCCCCTCATAACCTAGTTGTCACTCCAATTCATTACACATGCACTTTAATCATTCAATCACACCATTCCATCCATCCATTCAGCCACATTTTCACCAACAACAAGCATCATTGCCGTGCCTTTCCAGATGTCCAGCATCCCATAATCATTCACACCCCTTTCTCCACATTCCAAACCTTGTGCCGTGTATTCCCTTCATCATTCCAGCATTCCACCTAATTCACATGCCTTCATTCATTCTTTATTCCACTTACACTCATCATCACACACCTTAGCAATCAACACATGCAATCACATGCATCACAACCACAAAGAACCATCCTGAAAACACATTGCCGTGGCCTACTCACAATTCCAGCATCTTCACATGTCTTTCTAGCTTTCCCTTTCATTTCCACCACTCATTCTTCATCATTTCAGCCACCTACATGCATTAATTATTAAACTCTTCATCATTGCATCCAGAAAATGAGCAAGAAAGCTTCCCAAACACATGCATACACACACCATTTCCAGCACACACATGTAAATCCAACATAAAAAACTGTCATTGCCGTGGGATCCTTGTGCTTTCCAGATTTCCTAGCTATTTTCCACCACATTCCAGCACATGCATGCTTAAACAAACAGCCATATGTTCCCTCCACTACTCCTATAAATACCCTTGCATTCATTCATTCAAGCATCATCTCAATTCCATTCACAACACAACAACAAACACAAAAACAGCAACCTTGTTGCCGTGGGTTCTCTTCATTTCCAGCATCATTCCCTTCTATTTCCACCACTTCCCAACCCTCCAAACCACTCCTCTACCATTTCCATAATCCCCCAAACCTCACCTTAGACCTTGTGCTACAATAACGAGGAAGATAAGAGGGCCTAAACGTTCATACAATTCAAGTTTGAGTTGTTGGAATGTTTAGGTGTTTCTTTGATTTCAAAGTTTAAATTCAATTCTCTTTGTTTTGTACGTATGAGGAATGGAAGAGAAGAGTGCCTAAACGTTCATACAATTCAAGTTTGAGTTGTTGGAATGTTTAGGTGTTTCTTTAATTTCAAAGTTATGAGGAAATAAACCCCCCTTTAGCTAGGGGGTGATTCGAAACTATGTTTATATTTGCAATATGAATTGATTAACTTTCGTTGGAATTTCATAAGTTGTTGATTCAATTTGTTTAACCGTTTGATTGATAATTTATTTATGTATGTTTATTAAGAATGCGCGCTTAATTTTCATGCATGAATATGACGCTAGAATATAAGTGAATTTCACCTAATCGTTATGAACTTATATTCACAAGTAGTGGAGGTTGCTTATAAACAATCGCGTTAAATGAATTATTGGCACGAGTTTCATGCTCATCATAGTAATTTTTGCCTCGTCAACACTTATAGTTTTCATGATGCTTAATGATCTTTGATTGTATCTTTATTGTGCTGTTCACGTAAAGGACTTTTGGAGAATGTTGTGAATTGCGTTGCGCTAACCCATCCAATTCATTGACTTAAGGAGAACTTGACGGTTAATTTAAGCGGACCTAATTAACCCGGGGTGTTGAGTTTCATGATTTATCGAAAGACCAACTGAGAATCAATCTTGTATGCAAGTGTAACATGTGTGGAGAAGAACCCCTTGGCTATTCCATCATCCATATTTTCATCACATTCATATTTACGTTTTGCCTTTAATTACAATTTGTGCAATTTAGTTAATTTCGTCAAATCAAATCCCCCCTTTACTTTCTTGTTCTTTAGTGCTTAGAATCTGTTTAGTTTATGTTTTGAAGTATTTTTGAATTCTTTGAGTCTAGTATAGTGTTTTAAACTTTATTTTACGTTTTTGAGTCAGTTTCCAAGAGATTTGCAATCCCTCCTAATCCCCGGTCCAGAACGATCCCTACTTATATTTATACTACAATTGTCAAAAAGAGGGTTTAATTTGTGCGCGTATAAATCACGCATCACTTGGTAAGAAATTCACATCAGAGACCTTCATATGCTTCCATTGCTCCACCATTGTCAAGTTTGATAACTTGCTTAACATGCACCGAATTCAAGCAATGCTCGAACTTAGATCAACCACCTTAGTTAACATATCAGCAGGATTATCAGCTGTAGCAATTTTCTTGACTCGAATTTCACCTTTAGCTATAACCTCTCGAATAAAAGGAGATCTCACATCTATATGTTTGGTCCTTGCATGATGTACCTGATACTTTGCCAAGTAAATGGCACTTTGACTATCACAATACACATCCAACTTGTGTTGATTTACAGCCAAATCTTCTATCAACCTTAGTGTCCAAATTGCTTCCTTAATGGCCTCAGTCATCGCCATATATACTCAACTTATGTGGTTGAAAAATCAACAGTTGGTTGTAGTATTGATCTCCAACATATAGGACCTTTCGCCATAGTAAACACGTACCATGTCGTAGACCTTCTTTTGTCCAAATCACTAGCAAAATTAGAGTCCACATAAGCAATTGAGAACTTGTCAATTTCTCCACCATTCCTTTCAAAACAAATTCCTAAATCCCTTGTTCCATGAAGATACCTCAGGATCCATTTAGCAGGATCCTCATGCATTTTTCCAGGATTACACATAAACTTACTCACAATTCCAACTGCGAGAGCAATATCAAGGCGAGTGCATACCATAGCATACATCAACCCCCCAATCAAACTGGAATAAGGGACATCTTTCATCTTGGCTTTTTCTTCATCGGTTTTAGAACGTAGTTGAGTACTCAATTTAAAATGAGAAGCTAGAGGTGTACCCATAGGTTTGGTTTCCCCATTAATCCTAAACTTGTGCGGCAATTTTTCAAGGTATTGTTTATGCGATAAATACACCAGCCCCTTCTTCATGTTTCTCGTGATCTCCATTCCCAAAATCTTCCTTGTTTCACCGAGATCATTTATCTCAAACTCTTTTTTCATCTGAGCTTCAAGCTTTATAATTTCTGTGATATTACTAGAAGCATATTGTCTACATAAATTAATAAGTAAACATATGTACCTCCTCTTAATTTCTTGTGGTACACACAATGATCATAATGGCTCTTAGTAGTCTTGATCCCTCATAAACTTATCAAATCTTAAATACTATTGCCGGGGTGATAGTTTTAAACCATATAATGACTTGTTTGAGCTTGCAAACTAAACCCTCTTTTCATTTTTTTCTTCATATCCTTCAAGTTGCCTTATATAAATCTCTTCAGACAAATTTCCATGTAGGAATGTAGTTTTAACATCCAATTGCACTAACTCAAGGTCATAATATTCTACTAAAGCAAGCAAGATTCGAAAAGAGGAGTGTTTCATCACTGGAGAAAATATCACATTATAATCTATTCCTTCTTTCTGAGCATATCCCTTAGCCACTAATCTGGCTTTGAATATTATTGAACTCACATCATCTATTCCATCATTCTTTGTATATACCCACTTGCATCCAATAGCTTTTCTTTCCCTAGGCAACTCCACCAGTTCCCAGGTTTTGTTCTTGTTGAGATACAGCATCTCGTAACCCATTGCTTCATACCATTGCTTTGCTTCTTTGCCGCTCACTACTTCAACAGAGAAGTGTTATCCTTGGATTATTACTTAAGTGTTGATTAACGGTTTTATTTTTTGTTTGTGACACATCATTTAGTTTAAAAATTTAGTCTCCTAAGCATTAACAAGCGGGCTATTGTCATGCTTCATTTTTCAAGTGATATTTAAAAGGGTAATACTAGGAAGGCTAAATTTGTAAACTAAAATTTGAAAACTAAAGGGCATGGAAGTTGATGATTGGTTTATTACTTAAGCGTTGATAAACGTGCTCATTCCTATTAGTGATACATTATTTAGTTTGCAAATGTTGTCTCCAAATTTAGTCTTCTTAGTATTACCCTATTTAAAATGGAGTAGGTTCTCTCCCCTCATAATCTCTCTCCTTTTCTCTCCTCTTCTCTTTGAACGGTTACGATTGAATCACATTAACACCTTATATTCATTTTTTATAAACAAAGAAAGACAAAAAATAAAATGTGAGAAGATAAAATGGAAGAAGAAGGAATTACGAGAGAAGAGAATCCTACTTCATTTGAAATAGGGGACGACTCTAGCCGACACAAACATTGTTAACAACACTTCTGCTATTTTAAATTTGAGTAACAGGCTTGTTTGCATTGGCCACAAAACCTAGATTACTCAGACTTTTGTTTTCAGTTAGCAAAAGATTAAAATGTTGATTAACTCCAGTAAAACAAATATGCATGGCCACACAAATATATTCAAGACCAAGCAATTTTTCATTTAAATTGTACAGAATTACGCACAGCCTTCCATTCACCATTATTTTTTTAGCCTTCATTTCTCAATGAGAAAACTAGCTAGTCATTTCTCAAATTTAATTATGCATTATTAATTTTATAGAGTGCTAATAATAATTACTTAATTTTAATCGTATAATTACACAATGACCTTTTCTTGGGCAGCCATGGTGTCTTCATCAAGCTCGAGAAACTTGTTCACCCACTCCAACCCATAAGAACCTTCAGCAGAGAAGTCAAAGAACTCATTCACATCAAAGTTCGTATCAGCGCTATCGTCTGATGCTTTCTGGGAAGGTGTAGTTGTAGTATCGGCGCTATTGTCTGATGTTTTCTGGGAAGGTGCAGTTGCAGTAATAGTCGTCATTGTCTCTTGGGCTGTTGAAGCCAGCGATGTTTTTTCCTTCTGATTCATTTTCTTGCTCAAATGAGAATTCCAGTAATTCTTTATTTCACTGTCTGTTCGACCTGGAAGTCTCCCGGCAATCAATGACCACCTATACAATACAAACTTCCGATGGTCAAAATTTTTATCGTCTGACATGTTATGCAATTAGCAGAGTGTCAATATGCATGCACCTCTGTCTATTTATTCATTCAAATATGTGGTCCAGATTGACAGACAGACAAGAAAATGTTGATAATGTTGACTAAATTAAATTACCTGTTTCCTAGTAGTTTATGAAGCCTAAGTATCAAGTCCTCTTCATCATCAGAAATGTTGCCTCTCTTAATATTGGGTCTCAAATAGTTCAACCATCTCAACCTGCAACTCTTCCCGCAACGATTCAAACCTGCAGTAGTAACAAGAGATTAATTAAAGTACATATTGAACACACGAAATCCCCCAGCTAGATTAAAACAAAATAAAGAAGAATCAATGTGGTTAATTTGTATATTAGTGGTTTAAAAGTTTTAACCCTGTTGTTTGAGCTCAAAATAAACGAGGATTGGTTAAATAACTAACCTGCTATCGAAGCAACTGTCTTCCACCTCTTTGCACCATGAATTTCAATATATTCTGCAAGTTTTCTATCTTCCTCTCCTGTCCATGTTCCTTTGTTCACAGGCTTTTTTGTTGACGCGTCGTTCTTTGGAGCCATGACGTACGTAGGGGGGGAGAGAGAGAAGAGAGAGAGAGAGAGAGTTAAATTTGGTGTTAAATATATCAGATAAGAAAATAGCAAGAAAGACTGATTGTTGGCTATCAACAACTACTGAGGGTTTATATCCTGCTGGTTGGTACAGTTTTGTGAGGAGGAAATTTGAAGGGTCAATGTCAATGACTACACTAATCTAGCTACCCTTCCTAGAGAGAGAGAGAGAGAGAGAGAGAGGTTCCAACTCCCAAAACTCACAACTACCAGTTAGGGCTCGATTAGATTGTGTGAGAGTGGGGAGTAAAACACAAATCATTTTTGTGCGAAAAATGTTAAGGAGATTCTTTTGGGATTTTTTATGGATTTTTTTTCCTTCTCGTATTTTTTGCACCATGTTTTTTAAAGTTAGTACAGAAATTAACTTTAAATTGTAAGGTATCAAAGAGGGAGTAGGATTCTCTTCTCTCCTAATCTCTTTCTTCTTCCCTCCCCTTCTATTTGAACGGCTACGATCAAACCATGTCAATATTTTGTTCTGTATTGTTTATATAGAGAAAAGGACAAAAAAAAATGAGAAAGGGGAAATGAAGAAAATAATAATAGAAGGAGAAAAAATCCTACTCCATCAAAAACTTCCAAAAAAATCTCATTTTAAAAAAGTCTCTCTACCTTTTTGTCTTTTTATATTTGCTCTTTGTCCTTCGAGACAAGTCGTTATTTATTTCTCACTTGTACAATTGTCTGATGTCATGAATATTGTTTGTTATCCTTGAATATCTAAATAAAAGATGCTTTCCCTTAAAAACCAGTACCCTTCCAGTCTTTCAGTGCCAGTGTGCCACCCAAATCCCTAATTATATGTTTTATTCTACCACAATTATATATATATATATATATATATATACATGGAGTGTAAGATTCGTCTAACATGTAAAAGCCGATAAAGATAATATCTTAACTCACTTTATTAGTAAGCTTCTCTTCTATGTCAAATTGGAAGATGATTCTTTACTCTCCTATTCATATATCATTTCATTCCCTTTTCTTACACATTGTTTTCTGTTTTATTTTTATAAAAAAAATCAATATAAGATATTAACGTGGTTTAATCTTGACCGTTCAAATAGGAAGGCATGAAAGGATAAAGAGATTAGAAGGATAGATAATCCTCCTCCTGTCAAATTTTCAACGTTAAACTATCAATAGGTCTTAACTTAATAATAAATGTGTATTTCAATGATAGCAGTAATTATTATTTATATTATCAATTAATTTATATAATTTACCTATTAAAATCCATACTAAAATACTATTTTTTTTTCTCTCTATTATATATGTGACATCCCACATCACCTAGGGAAGTGATCCTTATATGTATATTTCTATCTCTACCTACCACGAGGCCTTTTGGGAGCTCACTGGCTTCGGGTTCCGTTGAAACTCCGAAGTTAAGTGAGTAGCGCACGAGAGCACTTCCAGGATAGGTAACCCATTGGGAAATTCTCGTGTGAGTTCCCAGAAACAAAACCGTGAGGGCGTGGTCGATGCCCAAAACGGACAATATCGTGCTACGATGAAGTCGGGCAAGGGAAGTGGTCCCTCCCGGGGCGGGATGTGACAATTGTGACATCCCACATCACCTAGGGGAGTGATCCGCGCGCACTCCCATGATGGGTGATCCATTGGGAAGTTCTCGTGTGAGTTCCCAGAAACAAAACTGTGATGGGAAGTTCTCGTGTGAGTTCCCAGAAACAAAACTGTGAGGGTGTGCTGGGGGCTCAAAGCGGACAATATCGTGCTAAGGTGAAGTCGGGCCTGGGAAGTGGTCCCGCCCGGGCCGGGATGTGACAATTTGGTATCAGAGCCTAACCCTGGTCGTGGTGTGCCGATGAGGACGTCGGGCCCCTAAGGGGGGGTGGATTGTGACATCCCACATCATCCAGGGGAGTGATCCTTATATGTATATTCCCATCTCTACCTAGCACGAGGCCTTTTGAGAGCTCATTGGCTTCGGGGTTCCGTTGGAACTCAGAAGTTAAGCCAGTAACGCGCGAGAGCACTCCCATGATGGGTGACTCACTGGGAAGTTCTCGTGTTAGGCCCAGGAAGTGGTCCTGCTCGGGCCGGGACGTGACAATATATATGTTATAGAACCTTTCTCTGACCAAAAAAAATGTAATAGAACCTTTTGAAGACGTAGGGGAAGAGGTCCCCCTTCACTTATGCTTGCGGCTCTCGTTTACTAGAATGAAGGTTTGACTAAATTTAACTACACAAATTTATTGTGTCCATGTGCTATATATTTACTCATGCTAAATTCATAGGGGAAAGTAATTGTATGTTGTCGAAGATCTAATATTTGTTTGTCGTGTGAATTTGTAAACAAAATTGTCAGAAGACTTTTGTTTGCTAAATAACTACTAGTAAAAGGAGTGATCTGTGGAGATTGGTACTTGATTCTGTTTATTAACCAAGCAATAGTTTTGTTTGAATCAACTAGAAGAGGTGGGAAACATGATCTGCTCAATAGATTGAATATATACTTACTTGACCTAACTCGTTTAAAGAAATATGGCCTCAACTTGAATTGGTTTCAAAGAATCAATTATGTATAGACTGCAAACTAAACAAGTGGGAGAAGGAAACCAACAAGTTTTATATGTAAAATTGTGGTATGATTATTATTTAAAATAATATAACTTTCTGTCTTTCGAACAGAGTAAAAATTTTATGATGATGTGGCAGACGAATTCCACACAAGCGTAGAGTGCTCTTTTAAACCACAAGTAAAATCTTGTCACACCTGTCTAGTGCAAGTCAAAAGCCCTTGGATTGTCAAGTTAGACTTAGAAGAGGAATGAATGCGACACTCTAGTTTTCTTGGAAGAGGAACAATTACCTCACCATGACTGGTGATCATGTGTTTATATAGTGCAAGTCTGAGCTTATAGATGATTCATTAGGGTATCGTGACACTCCCTAACTGGTTGATTTAAACCCCTCATTACCTACCCATTTAGCTAGTGAACGTTTGACTTATACAGACTTATAAAGACGTGATAAAAGGTACCGATTAAGAGTCCCGTTTAGAGAAGTATGAGCTTGAAGATAACAATACCAGTGAGCTTCTACAATGTCAACTACTTTTTTTTATTATCAATTAACATTTCCATTGTAATATTACGTATAAGGATACAACGATATTGGAGGATGTAGATATATATGAGATAAGTCACATAAAGAGCTAGTCATAATTAATTATCACAATCGTTATGATAGTCAAATCAGAAACTTTTTCCTTATAAGCAGAGAAGAATAATATTAAATCATAGTGTCAATGCCTCAACATATTTTAATTTTGAGTTTTTCTTTCTTTATTTATTTAGAAGAAAGAAACTTTTCATTAAACAGGGCAAATTACAAAGATTAATGTAACCCCAAATAAAGGCGGGTTAAGGTACCAAAAGATCTATATACATCAAGCCAAGAACAAAAATAATGAGAAAATCTAATAAAAAAAGAATTAAAAAAAACAAAAAAACAAAAAGGGTTTAATAGAAGCCGACAACAACACAATGTCGAGCGATTACATCGTGAAAATCCAGTGCCATCAAGGAACTCAACAAGCAGCCCGGAATTTACTCATATTCAGAACATGGAAGAATCTGCCCAGCCAAGAATCTTTCTCTATGTTCCCCTTCTTTTTCTCCCTCTCCCTCTCTCCTCCTTGTGTGAATACAACCAGAATTAGACGACCAACTTGTAAATCAGATCTAAAATCTACTGACCCTTGATCCGGTTGTTGACTGGGGCGCCTACTTGCGATCAATGCCGTGAAAGAGGAGACTGGAGCACAGGCACGATTCAAGGTGACGCCAGTCATGACATACGGTGGACGACGTATTTTGGTGCTGACTAATTGGTTGTTGGTGGGGTTAGCTTTTAATTTAGGATTTTTATCACAAATAGTTCCCAAAATTGACCTTCATCATTAAGACAGTCATTGAAATTAAAAATCAACCAGTGTAATACTTAAAAATAAATGTCGCAAATCAACGTGGTCCTTCCGTCACAATTCTGTTAAAAATTCTATTAAGAGCTGATGTGGCACATATATGGACCCCACAAGATTTACAGGTTTTTATCACAAATAGTCCTTGCAATTGACCCACATCATCAAAATGGTCCCTCAACTTGACCCACACCATCAAGATAGTCCCTGAAATTAACCCACACCATCAATATGGTCCTAGAAATTGATAATCAATCAAGGTAGTCTTCGAAAATAGATGTTGCAAATCAATATGATTATTCCGTTACAATTTTGTAAAAAAATTTGTTATGTGATGATGTAATAATTAATTAAAAAAGTTGTCTAAATGCCCTTTTGCACAATGAATTTTTTTTCTTCTTATAATAGGGCCTACTCTGAAGAGAGATCTCTTCCATAAATTCTCAAAGGCACAAGGCTTAACTAAGGCCGAAGAGGGGGTGGTGGAAATAGTTTTCAACCAATAATGGATGCACCTCAGTTATAACTTCATTATCTCAAGATAAACCTCGTCGTTCTGTGCATCACCAGACCATCAGAGAAGCACCGAACAAGCTCTTCAAGATTAAGGTTGTGAGGATGTTGATCATTTAAATGTTAATGATGATGTCCTAGTAGTCATTGTCAATGGGCCAAGCCGTCATCAACGGTAATCTCGATCTAGGTTCAATTCGATGAAGAGTGTCGAATTGTGTAAAGATGGATGTATTGAAATTTTTTTTAGAGAATACAGAGCGAACGAGGTAGAGAAATGTGGACTAGAATAGGAGGTGGTTGCTAGACTGAGCTTTTGGGTTGACAATTTTTTTACTAACTATTAAATTATTAAGCCAATTTGTAATTTTTTTTTTACTTATGTGACCCATTTATGTGTCACATCAGCACATAACAGAATTATTGACATAATTGTGACAGAAGGGCTCCATTGATCAATTTTTAATTTTAATGACCATTTTGATGTCGCAGGTCAATTTCAAGGATCATTTTGATGTCATGGGTCAATTTCAAGGACTATGTGAGAAAAAAGACTTATGAGAACCATTTATATACCACATCAGCACTTAACATAATTTTAAATAGAATTGTGACAAAATTATCACATTGATTTGCAATACCTATTTTTAAAGACTACATTGATTGATTTTCAGTTTCAGGGACCATCTTGATAGTGAGGGTCAATTTCAGGGACTATTTGTGATATAAACGCTTTAATTTTTTGGATGATAATCTCTCCGAATTCTCTTTGTTTCTCTTTGTAATGATCCTAGGGATCAATTCATTAGACCTGACAATTTCTTACAATACCCGTTAACGCAACACATAAACGACACGAAAATAACAGGTTTCAGGTCAGCACGATAACTAATCGGGTTATTATCAGGTTACACGATAATAACCCGTTAATAATGGGTCCTTAACAGGTTTACATGAGAGTGACACGCAGGTAACTTGTTTCAACACGATAATCAAAAAGTTATTTTGATGATTTTAATTTTTTAAACTACTAAAAAAAATTACTATAAAATACAATAGATATAATGAATATGTATATATTGTTTATTAATTATTATTCTATATAAATTTTAAAATTTAAGTTTTATTTATTTATTTATTTTTATAGTATATTATAAGCAAAGATTGAGATTAAAAATCATAAAACACATTAAAAATAAAAATATCAAGTAATTTAAAAATACCAAACACATTAAAAAATTATAATAATTAATTTACATGTGCAAAAAATATTAAAAAAATATGGAAACACTCGTAATCGCATCCTCTACGTTTTGAGTGTGGGTAATATGATTGTTTGAATTTTTAAAACCCTACAAACTCTCATGAATAGTATTTTTACAGGAGTTCAAAATAAACAAAATTCATAATCATTAATGTATAAGTTTGAAAAATGTGAAAACATAATAAACGTTCATAATTGCATCCTCAACCCTTAGATGATAGTTACATGGTCGTTTAGATTTTTAAAACCGTCCAAATCTCATGAACAGTGTTTTTTATTTGAAGGCAAAATTAATAAAAATTATTGTAGAAGTGTGAAAAATGTAATCACCCGTAATGAAAAGCTTTACAACTTTCATGAAGGGGTCAACTCCATTATTTAGTATGTATATACTAATTTAGTATTATGTTTTACATTTTTTTGGGTCAAATTGTGTTTTTCATTTTCATTTTTATTGATTTAAAATTTATTTTCTTAACGGGTAACGAGTCAGATCATATTACCTGATAATATTAACGGGTTGATTTTAGGTTGAGTCATATTACCCGTTTACTTTAACGGGTATTACACGACACAACTCATTAAGCTATCAGGTATGACACGAACACGAGAAACACAACACAAATGTCAGGTTTACAATTCATCTCAGCATCGTACATTGTGGTGGCCAACCTTCGTTAGGTATGGTTTGCGTTCAATTTTAAAGAATAATTTCAAAATGATTTTTGATCACAAGATAACTGATGAACGGATAAGATGAAACTAATTCTTAGGATCCTCACAAAGAGGATCCGGATATAATATGTTCCTTAATTTTTAAAGATAAAGAAAACAATTATAAAAAGTTATTTTGATTTTTGCTTCAATTTGAGACTAACCTATTAGTTAAAGAATAATATCAACGAGATCAAAATTTTTAAATTAAATTTGCAAACCAAATGATGAAGTTGTTGATGATTGGATTATTACTTAAGCGTTGATTAACGTGCCTATTTCCTACTGATGACACATTATTTGGTTTGCCAATTTTGTTTAAAATTTGGATAATGCTAGAGAGGCCATTGTTGATTTGGCATTACGGAAAGTATTTTAAAATCTTTTTTAAAAAGTCAGGGTTAAAATTGTTTGGTAAATGAAAAAAAAATTTGTTAAAATCATGGGTCCAAACAGCAGAAGCAGCTCTACCCCTGCTTCTGAAAACATCGTTTTTTTTTTGCACAACACAACTCCAAACTAGTCCTAAATGTGTAGACTAAATGATATGAAAGTTAATTATTGAATTATTATTTAAGTATTGATTAACATGTGTATTCATATTAATGACACAATTTAGTTTATAAATTTAGTTTACATATTTAATCTATCTAATATTATCATTAAAAGTTTAGTTTCTCTAACATTTTCAACTTTGAACCTATGCTTAATGACGCTAGAGGCCAAGCTTCAAATCCAGGACCTCTCTAAACATAGGAATTAATCCGCACGTGGCCTAAATGATTTTGTCAAATTGCTACCTAAATATCATGTAATTCTTCCTGATTAGTTGCCAAAATTGCTGACCTTTGTCGCTTGAACACAAAGCATATAGGGTGTGTTTGTTTGGCCTCACTATCTTTCACTAGACTAGACTGGATTAGCTATCAGGGAAATCCCGTGTTTGTTGCGTGCACGGACTAAAGTTAATGAGACTAAAGGGGATTCGCTCCTACTATCTCCCTCGCTAAGAGGTCTTAGCGAGAGCGCCCCGCGACCATGGGATTGCTAAGCCCTTCGTCTGGTCTGTCCTCATCTCCTCCTTGTCCACTCTCTGCTCTGTTTTCTTGAGCACCGACAGCCACCATCACATCACCACTCCCAACTTCAGCGAGATACACTGCTAGCCCAACACCAGTCTCTCCCTCTCGCCTTGAACCCAGAATTTCGAATGAGGAAGATCCCGCTTTCTCTGTCGTCTGTCCTGCTCTAGCAGTCCTTTGATTCACCTCCGAGGAATATCTCGTTCTAGCACTCCTTGATTCAATTCCTCCGTGTTTCTGAAGGTTAATTCTTTGATTTCCTGTATTTTTTTGGAGGGGGGGCGGTTTAATTTTGTTTGGTTGGTAGGAAAGCTGAGAAATTGGTTTCTATCGAGATCCAAGGAAAGCAAGCATCCTTGGCAATTTTTGGTAGAATTGCAGGGGAAGAAGAAACGAAATGAAAAGGCTTGAAATTGTTGCAGGACAAGATTTTTTTTTGGGAAATCGGTGATCAGGGATTTTTTTTGGAGAAATCTGGAGATCATGCAGCTTATGGAACTCTCTAGATTGAGTCAATGAAAATATCTGAATAAAAAAGTAATAAAATAATTAAAAAGTAGTAAAAAAAAAATTTAGATTCTAAAAATAATTTAATCCATGGCTTAGTCCGATACTGCATCAAACACTTCATTATTCTTGTCCTGCTTAGTCCATGCCAAGACAGTCTAGCTTAGTCCCTTAAGCTAATCCAGTCCGAGATAGTCCGGTGGAACAAACGCACCCATATATTACTGACCTTCTGAAACCTAAACTCTCTTAAGAGCACTTGTTTTGTCGATGAAGTTCTAATAATGAGCAACATCCTTTAATTCTTGAATCAGTCAAATTTCACGCAATTGGATTGATCATGAGGATGATGTACTAACCATCCTCGAGGAAATGGTTGCTGATAGTGTTAGGTGTGAGATCGGCAATTTTAAGGCTGGTACTTTTGCAATGGTTGCATCCAAGATGAGGGAAAAGATTTCTGACATTAATATAGAGTCGAAGCATATACAAAACAAACTGAAGCGTCTGAAAGAAAAGTATTCATCTGCATATGACATGACGAATACCTCTGGATTTGGTTGGGATGATGAGAAAAAAATGTGTTGTTGTGGACAGTGACGAAGTACTATAACTGTGGGTGAAGGTACATTTTGTTTCTTATTCTTTATTAATTAGTTGTTTTGAAAGTCTTAACCTTGATTTCTTTGGGTTCTTATTGTAAAAACATCCTAATGCATCTTGCAAATCAAATAAGTCATTTCCGTTGTATCTACGCTTGTGTACGATGTTCGAAAGAGATCGAGCCACGAGTAGTATGGCTGAATCAACAATAGATGCAATCGAAAACATGGGGTTGGAAAATGAGGATTGCGGGACCTCCAAGATGCCTTTGACTTCACCTACCCATCTCCTTCTGTTGCATCTCAACCTATTAGGAAGAGGAAGAGGAATATGAATGATGCTGATGCAAATATTGTAGCTATTATCAGTGAACGCTGGAATAAAGCAATTACTGAAATGAAGTAAGGTGAAAGTTAAATTTTCAGAGAAGCGAAAGCCAGGTTACCTTCTGAGCTTCAGGCCATGGGTCTCCCATACGATCAGGTGCTAAGAATTTCAATGAAGTTAGTGAAAGATATCGATCTGATGCTAAGAATTTCAATGAAGTTAGTGAAAGATACCGATTTGATGCGTAAAATACACATCAAATTGGTATCTTTCACTAACTTCATTGAAATTTTTAGCACATGATCATATAGGAGACCCATGGCCTTAAGCTCAGAAGGTAACCTGACTTTCACTTCTCTGAAAGTAAAACTTTCACCTAACGTCTTCATTCAGTAACTGCTTTATTTCAACCTTCACTGATAACAGCTACGATATTTGCATCAGCATCAGCATCATTCATATTCCTCTTCCTCTTCCTAATAGGTTGAGATGCACTAGATGTAGCGGAGATGAGGTAGTGAAGTCGAAGGCATCTCGGAGGTCTCGCAATCCTCATTTTCCAACCCCATGTTTTCGATTGCATCTGCAACTGATTAAGCCATACTACTCATGGCTCGGTCTCTCCCAAACACTGTGCACAAGTGTGGATACAACAGAAATGACTTATTTGGTTTGCAAGATGCGTTGGGATGTTTCTAGAATAAGAACCCAAAGAAATCAAGGTTAAGACTTTCAAAGCAACTAATTGAGAAAGAATAAGAAACAACCCACAGCTATAGTACTTCGTCACTATCCACAACAACACATTTTTTTCTTATCATCCCAACCAAATCCAGAGGTATTCATCATGTCATATGCAGATGAATACTTTTCTTTTAGATGCTTCAGTTTGTTTTGTATATGCTTCGGCTCTATATTAATGCTAGAAATCTTTTCTCTCATCTTGGAGGCAACCATTACAAAAGTACCAATCTTAAAACTGCCGGTCTCACACCTAACACCATCAGCAACCATCTCCTCCAGGATGGTAAGTAGTACATCTTCCTCATGATCAATCCAGTTGCGTGAAATTTGACTGATTCAAGAATTAAAGGATGTTGCTCATTATTAGAACTTCATCAACAAAACAAGTGCTCTTAAGAGAGTTTAGGTTTCATAAACTTATGTTCGAATGTTAAAGTTGATATAACAAAGTCGACAATGAAACACAATACCATAAAAAAGAAAAGAACATGTATTTAAAACAATTCACCTATGAAAAAGTTGAGAAATATGCATGAACCTCCAAGGTAAGAAAGCATCTGTATCTGGAAAGCCTTTTGGCTGAATTCCCCAACAATCTAACACGACTGGTACACTGAAGCTCAAAAGAAAGAAAAAATATTCAGCAAGTGGACTAAGTTTTAAATACACAAATCAAATACAAAATTGTATCCACACAATTGCAACACACTGTCGCTCCGTAATTCTTCTATGCAAAAACACACAACACATAGATACGACATTCTATATCCTAAAGAGAATAAATAAATAGTTGGCCAGAGACGAAAAGATAGCTAAAGTGAAGAAATTTGAAGGAAAAAAAAAAAAAAACAAAGAACCATAGCTATTAACCACGAAAAAGCGACACGACTTACAACCCTTTAGTAGATTCCTAGTCTAGATTTCGAATATGCTACTGTGTTTTACTATAAAATTCAACAGACCATCTCTTACAATCACACACACTAGTAAAACTGCTTGCACGTCACAATCTTTCAATACACACAATTACAAACAAACACACCAATCAAATATACAAACTAATCGCTATCCACTAATCAAAGATATGGGTTAAGAGTAATCACAGGAGCAGATGAGATCAAACCCAAAAGACTGGTCCTCACAAAAGCAGAGCTCTTGCATGGCAGAACCAACTGCGCCATCCCAAACCCCAAACAAACCTACTTTAAGCACCTATCTCTTGAATCCCAATAAGTAATCAAAGTTTCAACGAAAACCCAGATGCCCAAAACCCCAACAAAATCCCCAAGAGGCCCTAAAACCCTACATCAAAAATGACCCAGATGAAAAATGAACAGAGCCCATTGATACTGATACACTTCTTATATAAGGATATATGGATAATGCAAATTATGTACCCAAAAATTCAATAAAATAATAAATAAAAAAACCCTTTAAACAAATTCATCATGGTTTCAATTGAATCAGATAATATTGTAAAAAAAAATATTGAGATTGGAATTGGATGGTTTCTTGTGCAATTACCTTGTGCGATTTGACGATCAAAATGCAAGGAAAACCCAGAGGCTTTGAGTTCCACTACGGGGGGAAGAGAAAAGAGGGGCTACAGGAGAGCAAGAGGAGGAAGGTTGCGAGAGACCTGAGAGAAAAAAAGGCTGCGGCAGAGAAGATGGAAAGAAGATAGTAGAATTTTAGGTTTGTTTTATGATTTGGATGGTGTAAATATTGAAAAAGATAAGGGGTATTTTTGTTTTAAAATTTTATAATTTTTTGTCCCACAGGGTGAAATGAGTTGTTCTAGGGGGAAGGAAATTTAACCAAAATTCATTCCGCATGACAGCGTGTCCCACTGCCTTTGGAGCACCAAACGTGGGACAAGCGCGTTTTGTACCATCCCACGTACCTAACAGTACCTACTTATCAAAACTTGCATGGTCATTTTCGTCAACTCCACCAGAATTTGTCAAAATGACTCATGTTAGAAGGATCATTACTACAATTAGGTTAAAGTTGAGGAACCATTGCTCTAGTTGAGTTAAAAATGAGGGACCATTTATCTAATTAGGTCAATGTTGAGGGACCATTGCTACAATTTTTTTAAATTGATTTTCTATATTTGGCCCTTAATTTAGCATCACGTGCGTGTCACATGACTCATTTTGACGGAAATTTTAATTGAGTTGATGAAAATGACTATAGCTACACTTTTTAGTGAGTTAAATGACCAATGGTCATGAATTTTTAGTTGAGTGATCAGTACTCTAATTGAGTTAAAGTTGAGAGACTATTGTTATAATTTCTTTTTTTATTTTCGTAGTATTTTAACGGGTAAATTACCGCTTGACTCTCTGAATTATAATGTTAATTGAAACTAAACCTTTAACTATTTTTATAATAAATTAACCCCCTAAATTTATAAAATTTAGCCAATAAACCTCATGCCATCAAATTTTAGTAGATTGTATCATTCATGTCAAATTGCAGGCTCTAGTAGTCTTCTCATGCGAATAAAAAATACTTTTAAAAGAATAACTAAAGAAATTTAGAAAAAATAAATAAACCACCCAGACAATATGGACTAGTGGCTATGGATGGGGAGGTGGAGATAAAAGTTGTTGTCAAAAGTAAATTAAATTTTGTACTCTTTAATTTTACTTCAATTGCAACTTTATATAATAGATTTACTTATTATTTAATCGTTAGTAATGATGTAGTAATAGTGAATTTTACATTTGTACTGTCAAACTTGGATAGGATTGTTTGCCTTTTCATTTTCGATGCTCTTTGTGACTTTCTGTTTGTGTGATCACGGTTAAATCACGTCAATATTTTATATTACTATTTATTTTTATCTTATTATCTCTATAGAAAAACAATATAAAATATTAACGTAATTTAATCGTGACCATACAAAAACAGAAGAACACAGAAGAATATCGAAAGTAGGACCACAGACAATTCTTGTCCGTCAAACTTTTGCCACATGACCATCTGATTATCTGATTTGCCAGAAATAGATTTGGGGTTTCGTCCAATCGTCAGATTGCAACGGTGCAGGCGTGAGGAGGGGTTTGGGTGTGGTTGTGGTTGTGCCATACGCCCCAAAAAAATCTAGATCCAAAACACTAAGAATTGGAAGCAAAACCTTGATTCAAGAGGTGCATTTCGGAAGAACTTGTTTGAACCATCCAAGCTTTTGATGCTCTGCCAACAACTTCGATAAGTACTGACTACAACAACAAATAAATCAAATTAAAAAGGACAAAGATTGTAGTTTTTATTTTGAGAGTTGATTTTTTTTTTTTTTTTTTTTTTTGAAGATTTAGGAAGGTGGATTCTTCTAGAAGAAAGGGGAAGAACGAACCTGTCAACATCTGGTGTGCTTCTACTCAGAGAAGAAGCAGCTCTGTCGGTGAGAAGTTGGGATTATACAAGCCTAACATGACTTTGTTCTCTGAGAAAGTGAAAGAAACGGAAAAAGGTTTCAGTTGTTGGTGGTGCTGCGGAAGAAAAAGGAGAGATCGATTTAGTTGGTGGATCTAGCCCTCCGACGACATGGTCATGGAAGCAGCCACGGAGATCAGGCCATGAGAAGCGAGAGGTTGATGGGGAAGAAGGAAAAGATGGGCCCGTTTTGTAATTAAAAATGATTTTATTTGTTTTGATCAACATGGCACAAATTTAGTGGGGCCCACAATTTTCACATAAGCAGACAACGGAGAAACTAACAGAAATTGAAACGGATGTATATATGACATTAAAGCGAAATAATATGTAAATATATGAAATTGAAATGTTTTAATATGGTGTATGAGATTGCAATTGAACACAAACTTAAGATTGCAAAATGTAATTACCTTTTTATTAATTTTTTAATTAGATTTAAGAAAAGTTCAGAAAAAATTGGATGGAATACCTTCAAATTTGATGGTGAGGGGTAAATTGGTCAATTTGAAAAAGTTTAATTCATAATTTACTCAAAAAATAATTGAGGCAGTCAATTTCAACTGGTGTTATAGTTCAGAAGTCAAATGGCACTTTATCCAAGTGGTTTGGCTTGAATTCATATCCTCAAGTGGTTAGCACCTGCAGAATTGCATTATACCATCCCGATGTCTCTGCCCATCAATATTCAAATGTGCTTAGTTGTGCTCACAAGAATACTGATGAAGTTTGAATTAGAAGAATCTGATGAACTGTGAATTAGAAGAGAGTTAATTGATAGTCCGTGAAGAGGTTTTTGAAGACACTCATAGTTTCACAAGTAAAAAGATAAAACAAAACAAAACTTTAATGAAACTAAGAAAGTAAAGTCCTTTATGGTGCGTTTGGACGAGAAAGTAAAGTCCCTTTAAATTGGAAAGAAATGCACTCACACAATCACTATTTAAAAATAAGTGTCTTCGGCCACGTTTTGAATGAGGATAGTTCATATGACCCGTATTATTTTTATTTTTTTCCTCTTATTGTTTTATGTGTGCCAAACCAGATGTACAAAAAATGATATCTAACCATAGTTACCATACAAAAATGTACTTTTTACTAAAAAATGTGAAGAGGGATATAACATGCACGCATGCCCACACACATAAGAAAACGTTTCATTAGGTAAATTCTTCAGTGCATATCAAACAGTTAAATACAATAATACACGTCAAATATGAATGTGTTCTTGGATTTTTGCTTGGGTGGTTACAAATTTGTACTCATTTAAGTTGACTTTCACGAGGAAGATAAGCAAACAAAGTACACCAGATTGGTATATAAATATGTATGGCTTTTTCGTTTTAGAGACTTTTAGTGTGCACCAGCATTGAACTCGGATTTTCTTGTCAACTTCAAAGTATGAAACACGTGAATCATGTAAAGCGACATATTATCATTATACGGAAACGTCGAACTAACTCCGACCACAATTATCAATGCCCTACTCGGGTTCTCCTACCCTTATGATTTAAGAAAATTGTGATCACTCACAGTTTACTTATCATTCACTTAACGTTCAATCTTAATGAATAATTGAAGAGAAAGTATAACAACAAAAGTTAAATGACCACTTATCGTTGCAATTTAATCGAACTGTAGGTGATCACAAATTTCTTGAACCATGTGGTCGAAGAAAACAAGACTACCATAATGGTTCTTTTAAGAAACAATTGATGAATCCTTTTATATAAAGGACATGATTTTTACACATCATTTTAAATTGTCATACCCTTTTTTACTTGTGGCCATTGAATTGAATAAGTCAAGCTGAATCAACAGTCAAGATTAAGTAAGGGTGTATGAGAGGCTAAAAGTGTTGGGAATTTACTACTATTATTATTTTAGCTTTCTAGCATTATGTTCTTGCCCGTTAAATACTAATGTTTGCTTGAGTCTTCACTATATATAGATGCTTTTAACTTGTAGAATAACTAGTCAATCAAGATGTTGTCTCTTCAGTTTGTGTGCCTTCTTGCCAATTTCATATTTCTTTGTTTAATAAAGTATTATATTTAGTTAATGCATTATGTATTATGATATTCAACTTGGTATCAAAACAGGTTTAATTATTCGGAATTTAATCTTCTTGTGTTGTTAATTGATGATTGCTCGATTACTCACTTGAATTGCTCACATGCTCAGTTGAATTGCTCGATTGAATCAATCACTCACTTGAATTGAATCGATCATTTGCTTGAATTGAATTGCTCCCCTTCCTTGCCATGTCCACCTACCGATGTAAACACAAAAATTCTGTAACGAATGAAACAAGAACACGTGTACAAAGTAGATTTGTATTCATGAATTTGTAGGGTTACAATCTTTGTTTACAATTTTCCTCTCATTCAGTCTTCAAATTTGATGTAGATGCCTAGGTTGTTAATCCAAGGTTTGCGATGACTTGATCTCGGACAAGCGATTGAACAATTGCTTCAAGTTTCGAGCTTGAAACAATGCTTGGATGGTCTTCACCTCAAAGCTGCGGCAAAGGTAGTGTTGACGTAGGATTTCATTGATTCAAGGGTCTTGGCGACTAGATCTTGAATCGAACGTTGTTACAAGTTTTGAGCTTGCAACAAAGTCTTCAAGGAATCAGCACAAGTGCTTGTTGATTCTTCAAGGGAATGCTTCAGCTTTGGTCGAAAGAAAGCTTCAATTTTGGTTGTATGTTCTTCGAAGAAAGCTTTGGCAGCGTATTAGTCTTCAAAGATTTGGCAAAGGTTCTCCTTTTGTGAGAATTTCGGCCCTTCAATGTAGAAATTGCCGACTCCTTTTGCTTGTCTGAGGACCTTGTATTTATAGACTTCCAAAGCTATGCCTTTGGATGGATTTGGCATTGATTTGTGTCTTGATTCATCCATGGGAGAATTTAGGCATGTTTTGTGTCTTAATTTCAGCCATTTTCCCTTGCTTGGCTGAAATCTATAAGGCTTGTTGCCTATTTTGTGAGTAATCTTTAATTCTTGCTTGTTTTATGAAGATGCTTTAGCTTTCTTTCCAGTTTAGGGAGCAATTTAGGCCCCTTGCCGATCTTAAGGAGATTTCTTCCCCTTTGCCACATTTTAGGAATACTTTTGAGCTTCCTTTGCCTGAGTTGTGCCACATTTCTTTCATGACTTGTTTATCTGTCATGAGTCATATGCCACGTAGAGCTTTGTGATGCATCATTTTCATACAACGAAATTTACATGTCTACAAATAGCCCCACTTCAAGGCGCATTATAGGCATGTGCTTGTCACATGTAGGAAATGTGTTTTGAAGTTTT